TCACAACCTTGCGCTTGCCAAGCAGGTGCTGTGCGGCTGAGCTAAATCCCCAGCCCCTGGGGCCGATGTCTTGTAATCTGCATCTGAGTGGTGGCTTTACCTGTCTTTGTGTCTCAGCACTCTGCAGTAAATTTTATAAGGGACATTGACCTGAGCCTCCGGGGGAATGTATGGTTTTGGAATTTCTGGAGGTCTGCGGGTTTATTCCTTTAGCTCATGCACAACTGTGAGGCACAGCTCCAGGCCTGGGGTCCAGCAGGCTGACATGGGAAGAGCCTGCCCTGCATTCTGGTGAGGAGGGATCCATTTCACAAGGAGACCCAGGGGGCGAGGTGTCACAGTGTCCCAGAGAGCATCTCCGGCAGCGGGAGAGCGCCTGCCAAGGCCTGGTGGAGTGCGTGCTGCAATGCTGAGGACACAGCCGCTGGCCGTTGGGACAGAACAGAGGGCTGAAGGAGACAGGGCTAGAGGAGTGGCGCGCGGCGGGGGCCGGGGCGCTGTCTACGGTCAGTCAGCAGAACGTCGCTGTTGTTGTCCTGCTTGTTTTCTGCAGATCCCTGAGCTCTGCAAGTATAGGACTGTGCTGCTGGCTCGGGGCGTCTCAAGGGTGCTGTGTGAGGTGCATCTGCTCGTTAGGGGGGAGCGGCCGGGTCGGGAAGGAGGCTGGGCTCGTGACGCCAGGGTGGCATGCGAGAGACCTCTGTCCAGTCCTTGTCGTTGGTGTTTTACCCACCATGAGCCCTAAAGATAATCGGTAGAAATACCTGTGAATATTTAAAAGCACAGTGTAGACAGTTTTTCAGAATCATGTTGATTAATGAACACTGCTAATTGTTTAGCACGCAATCTTTCAACTGCTGTCTGTATTTTTCCCTTATTAAGTAGAAAATTTGTAACCAAATTTTTATTTAACGTCGTTTTTCTGTATGGTTTATTTCTCATTTAAAGGTTGATTCTTAATTTAAAAAATGACTTGTTTGATTGATTAAGTGTTCTAGCTGGAAGCATTTTTGGTATTTGTTATTTTAGGTCTAATTTCTCTTACAGTATCTGACACTTTTTTTGAGAAACTTTTTTTGAAGTCTATCAATGCAGCAGAAAAAATGCAGAGATCACCTGTGTGCCCCCTCGTGCGTGGTCAAAAGGTGAACACACCTGGCCGAGCACACCCGGGTCAAGAAACGGCACGTGGTGAGCCCCGGGACCTGCTTAGTGCCCTCCCTCAGCAGTCTGTGTGAGGTGCTTCCAGTGAGGGCTGCGGAGGGTGGAAGTGCACGGTGTGTGCTGTTTCCTAGCTGCTTTCACTCATTGTGCTTGTGAGATTAATGCGTTGCGGGATGCACACACCCGATGTTAGGTGTCCGCGCTGCTGCGGGTGGAGGTTCGGATTGTTCTGCTTCAGGGCGGTGCTGAGTGCTCCTGGGACACCCTGTGCATGTCCTCTGGTCCCCCGTGTGCACCTCTGCTGAGTGGAACGCCTGGATCGCAGATTGGTGTGTGCAGGGCCTTGGCCGACACCAGGGACGTCTTCCCTGCGGCTCTGCCCACGCGGGTTCTCTGGCCGGTGAGGTTGGCCTCGGCCGTCCTGCCGTGGTTCCCACACCGCACGCTGCTGCCCTTGTGGTTCAGTTGAGATTCCCTGAAGGCTGACAATACCGTTCCCTCTCAGGTTTATGGCTACTGGGTGTCCCCTTTTGTGCTTGTCTAAGTCTTACCAGTTTTTCAGCACTTCTTTGTTAATTTCAGGTGCTTTGTTTATATTCTGGATGTGACTGACTTTGTAGGAAGATTCGCTGTAGATATCTTCTCTTTTTCTGTAACTTCCACTTTTCACTCTACTTGAGCTCATTTTTATGAACTGAGTTCTTTATGTAATGTGGGCCTGGTGGTTAGGGTTTTCCTTCATGGTTCATGACTTTTGTCTGAAGAGCTCTGTGCCTCTCTTGGTATCACGAATTTATTCCTATGTGTTTCTAGACACTGCCTTATTTTCACTTTCATATTTAGAGCTACAGTCTGTAGCGAACTGACTTTTGAGTGTGGCATGAGATGGGCTCCGTGTCCCGTCTGCCTGTGACCATGTACTGCGAAGATGTCTTCTCCCCCTTGGTGGCGTCACCTTGTCACGATCAGGTGACTGTGGGTGTGCAGCTCTCTCCACTCTTCTGCTCCCTTTGGCCGTTCGTGTGTACCAAGGTTCCTCCCCCGGACACTGCTGACGTATTTCTCGTGCATGGCTGTCCTGTGTGCTGTGTGGTCAGCCACAGCTGTCCCTAGAAGGCTCTGCCTGATTGTTATTGGCACAGTCTCCGCAGCTCAGTGAACGTGCAGTGGCCTCCGTGTGACTCCTGCCTGGGTCCAGCTTCCGAGTCCCGCACCGGTCCTTGCTTGGGCGCTCGGGTTTCCCACTGTTGGGGCCCCGTGATTCTGGTCACCTTCCCGGTGGCCCCAGGTTACGAGTGCCATGCTGCCTGACCGCCTGTCGCCCACCCCCTAACCTATCTTGGGGTCCTAGTGCAGCTTGAGGCGCCACTACACTGAGCATGTTACCTGTGGCTTTCGGTTTGGCCATTTAGTTCTCTGTTTTTGTGGCAGGATTTGGGGAGGCCAATAAAGGTTTTGAATATAAAAAACAAAAACTAATAATGTCTACATCAAAACAAATAATAAAAGTCCCTTACACATTTCTTCAGTTTCTCCCTATGGGGTATGGAGGGCAGGAAGATGTTCCTTCCTGGCCATGCGTCTGTCCCTGCGTCTGTCTGGATCTTCTCTGTCTGTCCACTACGTGAGCCTCCGTTGTTTAGGTTGGGAAGGAGGAGTGGAGACCTGAGTGCTGGCCGAGTGTGGCCCCATCTGAGGATTCCGTGTTTGTGTTCATTTGTGTCTGTGAAGTGGAAACAGACATGAAGCTGTCAGATTCTTGGCCCTAAAGCTTGCTTTTGTAGTTGTAACCTGTTAGACAGAATAGGTGGGTGTCTACTATTGTCCATTTACTGCAAGACATTGCAGTTGACCTTTTAACCCAGATCGTAGAGTCTCCCTGTTCAGAGGAAAAATCATAAAAATAAAAATTCAGAAGCTGACTTTAACTTGGTGCTGGGGATGATTTCAAGGCTTTCTTAAATTTCATGCAGAGACCAAAGACAGGTTCTGCACAGGAGCCGGAAATTGGGAATGTTCTAGAACATCTCAGCTGGATGGTCCTCGCTCTGCTTTGTTGTCTGTACTTCCTCCCTTCCTGGATTGCTAGACACACCGCACTGCATACAGAAGAGAAGCCCCCAAGGCAGTCGCAAATGTGCATGCCTAGCCTCTCTGTTTTTGTTGTTTCCTTAGACCCCAGTCCTCAGTTCCTCCCCATGCCTCCCGAGAGCTTCTGTTCTCGGCAGACACCCCCGGGGCCTTTTGCTTTTGTGTGCACTTGTGTGAGCACAGCCAAAGGCGGAAGTCCTTGGGGAGAGCCAGGAAAGGTGGATGCCTGCACCCTGCATCCCTCAGGGTGGCTGCTCCAGTCAAGGAATCGTCCTCGAAGTCAGGTGATCACGAATCCGATCCAAATACCAATGTGAAAGCGAGCAGGTTGAGCCAACCGTTGATGAAGAAGATCAAAGGCCCAGAAGTAGGCAGGACAAAGAGTGAGGTAGGGGAAGCTGGCTCAGTCTGCCCAGTGTTTCCAGCCTTCACTGTGCCATGGAAAACCAGTTTGTGTCTCATTTCAGACGTCCCCACTCAAGTGAGTTCAACTTGGAAAGCAAGTCTGAACATCGTTCTAGAAAATGTAGGAAAGAGGTCAAAGCTTTGAGGCATTAAAAGTACCCTACCTGTCTTCATGAAGCTGTCCTCATGTGCGCCCTAGAAGTACATTTGAGTGCTGACGCGTTGAGTGGGTTTCATGAAGTACCCGTCCTGCACAGCAGAGGGCGCGTGACAGTGTGTGTGCTGTGAATTGTGGACGTGCTCGTGGCAGTAATGCACATAAAAGTGGAGACGCTGTTTCCTTGTGACAGTGATGGAGAAGGCTGCGGCAGCCGACAGCTGTTTCTGCAGTGTTTATTATTTTAAAATAAAAATGTTTCAAAGTAACATCTGATATACTTAACTCCATGTGGATAGTGAACAGTAGGGAAATGGCTGGATAAATGGCAGCATTTACATACCATGAAGTGTTTTCATTGCTCACCAGAATGATCTGTAGCTCCTTCATTTCCTGTGCAGAGCTTTTCGAGTTGTTAGTGAGTGAAGAAAGCAAGATGCAGGAAGGGAGTGAAAGTGGCCTCGTTTCTGTGATATGGGGACGGGCGGGAGTGAGCGTGTGGTGCGTGCTTGTGTCTGCCCTGGGACGGGAGATCGTGGAAGGGTGTGGCGTGGGCTGTTTACAGGGGACGGTCCTGGTCATGGTCGTGGTCCTGGGGAAGGAGAGAAGGAAGCGGGTGGGACGGAGCTGGGGTTGATGTACGTCCTTACCTGGACTCTGACTTGTACTTCTAAAGACTGTGGGTCCGCCTTCCCCTAAAACGTGAGGGCTGGTCTCGGGAGTTTCCTGTGTTTGACCGGAGGCCTTGGGTACGATGGACTCAGCGAGAAGCAAACTAGGCGGAGAAGCCCTCGGAGAGCAGTCACTCGCGTGTCCGCAGCGCGATGGAGTCAAGTTCACACACCTTTCAGCCTCTCTCCCTTCTCCTTTACGGACAGTTGACCCTGGCGGTAGCTGGTTCTTTTTGATGATAATTACACAGTGCTCACGATGTGCTAGGCATCCTAAAATGAAAGTGGGCAGCATGGGCCGGGGCACCTGCCCATCCCGGGTGCAGCCCACTCTGCAACGTGCACAAGTAGCAGCCCGGAAGCTCATGACGCGGGGTCTGCTGCCAGGGGAGCTGCGGACCGTGTGCTCTGTTCCCTGCCCTCAGTGGAGAGAAGGAGCGTGGCTCTTGCTTGGAGGGCAGGCCAGGACTGCACACGGATCACTTTTGACACTCTTGTTTTCTTCCCTGTAGTGTGCGGGATGACAGGATTCGCGTGGAGAGGATGGATAACGTTTATTTTGAGCATAGCCATGCTTTCCAGGTGGTCACAGAGTTCTACGCAAAGGACCCAGTGGATGTCCGAGGTGAGGGTTTCACACATCAGCCGCACGTCCTCGGTGGGCCCATCTGGGGCCTGGCCGTCAGTCTGAGGAGGCTGGGTTGTGGCTGGAGGTCGGTGGGAACAGCCAGGAAGCACCTCTGGGACACGGCAGGGTCTTTCTTTCTCCTTGGGGCCCTTGGGCACGTGTTCATCGGAGTGTAAGGAGTTAGTGACCACATTTCCTTTGTGCTTGTCTTTTAAGATGGCCCATTAGTGTCCCTGCATTTTAACAGAATGTTTGGATAAATACTTCCCTGGAGGCTAGCGTCAGGGCTGTCACGTGGGTACATAGCCAAGGCAGGCATCCCCCCAGGTAGCCAAACACCAGGGGAAGACAGTTCTTCCTGGAGGGTGTCTCTGTGTCCAGTCCTGCTTTAAATGGCACAGAAAGTAGGGTGAGCCTGTCTGTCGCAGTGGGCAGCAGGGCAGAAAGGCAGGAGGGGGCTGGGGGAAGGTCTTACCTGATCTGACGCAGTTTGGAATGTCAGGAGCTGCCTGGAGCCCTGGAGCAAGGTCTAGCGGCCGATGTCATCTGAGGCCTCGGTGGGTAAAAGGCTCTGGATGGGGCAGAGAGCCCTCCAAGGACGGGTAACCTGCACTGGGCTCCGGCCCCAAAAGGTGATAAACAGCACCAGAGACACCAGAGACAGACTTTTGTGTAAAGCCACGAGGCTACTTTTATGTCGTCCCTGCGGGGAGAGGCTGAGATCAAGGAAGATGCTAGCACCCAGCTGGGGGAGGCAGAGTTCATAGGGCCTGGAGAGGGAGCTTTTCAAAGAGATTTGGGGGGCGGGGTACCCGTGGTTGAGTTCCCAGACAGTCAGAACCTCAGACTCTTCGCGCCAGGGAGATTGCAGTCCTGTCTGGTCCCATCTTCATGGCCTTCGGCTTGAGCCGAGGGTAGCGCGGCCCCTTAGTGAGTTCTGTTGTTTGCTGGCTGGCAGGGACTCACCTGTCAGGCCTGACACCTGTCCCTTGCGCACAGCTGGCTTTTCAGCTTGAGTGCCACAGTCCGGTGGTTCCTTTCAGCAGGGGCGTGATCCTCTGCCTCTACTGGAATTTACCTGACTGTCCTCACGGCTGTTTGTTTAGGTTATCTCAGGCTTTTATGTTCTGCTCACTTTGTATATGTGTCTTGGACGTGTAGTTTGGAGTGTTTCTGATCAAAGGAGATGAGTATTTTTTATATATATATATTTTTTTAAAATTAATTTTATTGGTACATTTTAGATATACATAGAGCATTTTATATATTTTTTAAATTTTCTGTTGTTCTCCCAAAAAGGATTCATTCCACCATCAGAAGATGCCCCTGTCCCCCATGTCATGGGTATCTGTAATCATGATTTTTCCAAAGGGCCAGTTTAGGAAATGCTGTCAGTAACCATAAAGTTTACATAGAATTGGTTTTTCATAGCAGTTGTAATGTTAATGCGTTCTATTTTTTTTTAGGGTCTCAAAGTTTTTCAGACATCATTAATTTGGAGAAACCTGTGATTTGCTGTTTGGCTGCCATAATAAGATACCTCAAGGAGTTCAACTTGGAAAAAATACTTTCTAAACCTGAGTAAGTGGAATCTCAAATGAAAAGGGCAGGTTAAGAGAGTAAAAAAGTTTCAACTTTGGTGTGTATATATTCAGAGACGTGTACTTGCTATTGACGGAATTCCCTAGGAGGGTACACGAGGAACTCTGGTGGTACTGCTGCAGAATAATAAAGATATTGATTCTCTTAAAATAGCAACACAATTCTGGCAAGCTGTATTCATGTAACTGTTTGGTAAATTGTTTTGACTATGACACTGTGCTTTATACTAAGTGGATTAAGACACAGATTTGAAAGCATTCACATTTTACCAGTTTTCTTATTCTTGGTTTCAGCTCTTATTTTGCAGACCATACATGTGGAGAGAGGGGCAGGCTATTAACACGGGTGCTTTTGCGAGAGGGCTTAACTTACAGATTTCAGGAATGCAAGCCACGGAAGGCAGACCCTTGGCTAATGACCAGTGGGACGAGAGTGGCAATGGGGTCACTTTCTTGCCTTTTTCTCTTTCTCCCCCACAGCCCCTCATCCTGGTCGCTGTCAGGAGTCACTGTCCGTCACAGTGGCCCTGGGTCAGTAAACTCTGGGGAGCTGAGGGGTGGACTGGCTTGGGGGGCTGGGCAGAGTGGGAGACACACGGGCTCTTAGGGCATCTTGGCATGACTTCTCGGTGTGTGCTGTGTGGCATTCAGTGAAACAGTGTCCCTTCTCTGGAAACGGTTGTCCCATTTCAAAGCGGTCTAGATGCCCATGGTGGGAAGTGGGTTTCTTGTGTCATGTTGGTGCCATGTACAGTGAATGACCTATAGGACCACACCGGTGCAGCGAGCCGGAAGTCAGGATGCGGGAGGGTGTAGCGTGTGAGAAAGGTCCAAAGCAGAACTCGCTTGTGCTTAGGGAGTGCTGAACAGCGGAGCTAAGAGTGACTTCTTCCATGCATGAGGAGGAGGAGGAGGAAGACAAACTGTTGGTCGGGTAATGGCTGAGTGGAGTTCTAACCACTTTATCTTTTAACCTAGCGTATATTACTCTGTGAGCATTTCAGTGAGGCTGAAAGGTTTTATTTTAAAGAAGTAGTGGCTGACCATCATGCTGTATTGGATGCTACTTTGAGTTCCACAGTTAGGCATTGGAAAGGACTATCGGTGTGGCTGATGATGATACAAAATAAAATTTTTTTTTAAAAAGAAACATGCAGTAATATGTACATGTAATGATTCCCCAAGCCAGTTGTAAACTATGTGAACTGCAAACATGTATAAATAAAAACAATTTAAAAAAAAAGAACCTCAAAGAACAAGCCACCCCATGGGACGTGTTCGTGCTGGAGGCCTTCAGGGAGGTGAAGTACAGTCAGTGAAAGAGCTTGCCCCAGAGGTTGACCTCCCTCCCTGCAGCACCAAGGAAACAAGTGTTAACACTGGAATAGGAAACTTCTGTTTTATAAACTCAGATTCTGGTGTATTTAGAAGGTGGTGATTGGGCCCATCAGGGTGTCCTCTCGTTGAGTTAAAATAACAGCAAAGAATGAAGCTAAACGGTAGGCCCTGATTTTGTATATTTTCCCAGCTCCTTGTAGACAGTCAGGAAATACAGAATTAATGAAAAAGGGAAGGAATTCAGATCCTGGAGAGTGGACTGAATCCGAAATTGCCAAAACGCCATTGGAAACCAAGATGCACGGCTGCAGCTGGCTATCACAATGTAGTGTTGTTTTGCTTAGAAATGAAGTGTGAGTGATGGAGTTTTATAGGTGACATGTGATTCGCTCTGAAGACGGTTCCAGGAGAGGGGGCTACAGGCCTGGTACTTTAGAAAAAGACAGCAACCTCCTGAGGCGATTACCTTGGAAAAAATGAATGTTCTTCTTATGTGTGGAATGCAGTTGTATTACTTTGTAATCATGAGATGCTGCTGAACTTTTGAACTTGTACTTGAAGACCTGTATTGTCAGGAGAAAAATAAATTCAACTTAAGTTGCTTTGTTTAGCAAATGCTTTCATAAAAATAGCTGCATACATTTTAAAATCTCAAGGAGCATTTCTTTCAAAGTCTTCGTGCCTTTACAATAGAATTTTAGGTGGTTGAAGAAAATGCACCATTTCAGGAATTATTCTTAGATGAAGTTTTTTTCTTAATAAGGGAAAGTTTTGAGGTTCCAAAATTGTTTTGTGAATTTGTTTGTTCCAGAGCGGGATAGTATACCAGCATAAGTAGAACATGAGGAATACTCTTGCTGTAGTTTGGATGTAGAATGTCCCAAGGGCCCACATGTCACAGGCTTGGCCGCTGGCCCATGGTGCTTTTGGAAGGACCAGGAACCTGCAGGAGCCAGGCCTGTAAGAGGAAGTGAGGACATCAGGGGGCGTGTCCTTGAGGGGTATCTGGATGCTGGTCCCTCTTGTCTCCCTCTGTGCTTCCTTCCCCACACACTGTCTGCCATCATGTGCTGCCTGGCCAGCAACCCAAAGGCAACAGGAGAGGTCAGCCATGGAACCTCGGGAACTCTGGGCTGAGGGAACCTTTCCTCCTTACAAGTTGATTATATAGGTATTTTGTCACAAGAGTACAAAGCTGACTAATGGTTATGCCAAATCAGTCCAATTCTTAAGTTTATAAAATTTATTTTTTACTTTATTTTATTTATTTATTTATTTATTTTGTTTTTTCTCTGGTACGGGGAACTGAACTCATGACCTTGCGCTTGCCAGGCAGGCACTTTGCCACTGAGCTAAATCCCCAGCCCCAAGTTTATAAAATTTAAAAGGCATTGGCTTTTTTTGTTACCAGAAATGAGTACTTTTGTCATTTTGGATGATTCTTCATTGAGATTAGTTTGGTCAGAATTTCAAGTAAGCTTTGGAAATTACAGGGAAGAATGAAAAAATTCACCCAAGATGAACTGTAAAGCTTTTATTGCCAGAGGCTGATCAGACCCTTGGAATCTGTTGGGTTGACAAGGACAAAAGAAAGACACAGACAAATTCTTAAAATTCAAAAGGGACCGAGAGTATTCTTGGTTCTAGTGAATAGTCTCGCCGATCTCCACAATCAGCTCATTTTTATTACTGAGCAAGAAACACAGGAGTATCGAGTCATGGGTCAATTCACAGCAGGGGTTGTAGTCAGGGTTTGCAAGAAAAAGGAATTAATACAGGACACATGATTTATAGGATTATTTTATAATATTCACCCCATGAGTCAAATGCAAAAGAGTACGGGTGATCTGTCTACACACTAGAGACCCAAAAAATCCAGCTGAGGGCCTGTACCAGTGTCCTACACCAGTCCAGCTGAAGACCTAGAGCCCATGACAATGTCTCATGCAAGTCTATCGAAGATCTGCTCTGAGAAGGCCCAAGGGTCAGTGGTGGAAGCCAGAAAGTGCATGGCAGTGGGATGAAGGATCTGTGCCAGCAGGCTGAGGGATCTGCACTGGAGCCAGGAAGCGATGCTCAAAGTAAGAACCAGAGCTCCCCTGAAAAGAACCTCAGCCATCCTCAGCAACAGCAAGGTCCCGAGCTCCTCTGATGATGAGAACTGCGAAGTTCGTATTGGAAAGCCAGCGTGACAAGCTTCTCCAGGAAGGTCAGTAGTACACACCTTCCCCTCTGGAGCCAGGAAGTGATGATATTCAAAGTAAGGACCAGAGCTCCCCAAAGTGAACCGCAGCCAGCTTCAGTGACAAGATCCCGAATTCCTGTGATGAGAACAGCCGAGTTCGTATCAGGAAAGCCAGCACAGCATGCTTCTCCAGGACAATCAACAGCACACACCTTCCCCTCCAGTTCTATTTTTATGCTGCTGGCAACAGTCCTCAGGTGGCCTCCCACACCCAGCACCACGCTGACTCAGTTCAGCTGGGTGTTAAAGTTGCTTACCAGTTGTCAGTCTTATCACGAGATTCGAAAAATAAAGAAGAGGTACAACTTCAAATGAGGTAAAAGTTAAAAGGGAAACAATCCCTTCTCCACACCAGGATGACTGCACGGTTAATAGGGAACTGGCTTTCTTCCTGTTATCCTCAGTGGATGTTAACCTGCCCTGGGAGCACCGTGGTCAGCGTCTTGGCCCCCACCAACCCTTACACAGCCCAGTCCCTGGCACTTTTATTAGAAAACTGCTTATGAGGACAGAACGATACTACGCGGTGACTTCTTCATCAGTGAGCGTAGAGTTTAGTATGTAAGCTGTTGAATGACGTCTAATAGGTAGCGGCCAGGGTTGCTGCCACACATTTAAACTCACAGCACATCCCACTACCAAGAAAGCAAACCAGTAATAATACAGCTCAAATGTCGCTGTTCCAGAACGGGCAAAGACATCCCAAGAGAGATACCACAGACTAGCATGATAAACAGGATCATGTACCGTGACTGTGGGATTTATTCTAGGAATATAGGTTTGGTTTAAGAATTCAAAACCAATGAATGTGATATATTTTGTCAGTAGAATAAGACAGAGCTACATGATTGTCTCAATAGACAGAAGACTCTTTTGGCAAAAAGCAACACCTTTTGTGATACAGATGCTTGGGAAATTCAAACTAAATGGAGCTTTGCCAGTTGAGGACATCTCCAGAGGCCTTGCAGCTAACAGCATGCTTGCTGGGTAGAGTCTGAATGCCTTGCCCTGGAGAGCAGGAAGTGAGGGTGTCTTCCACCCCTGCTGTTCAGGACTGTCCTGGACGTTCGAGCCAGGGCTGGGCGTAGAAAGAAGAAGTCAGTTGGGAAGGAAGGAAAACTGTTTGTTATTGCAGATGACATGAATTCATATAGAAAAACTCTAAAGAATCCACAAAGACTATTGGGACTGATATACCAGTTCACAAAGTTATAGGATATGAAATAAAGGTAAAAAAATCAGTTGTATATCTGTATGTTTGCAGTGAAGAATCTGAAAATGAAAATCAGAAAACAATTCCTTTACAATAGCATAAAAAAGAACAAGAGTGAATTTAATAAAATGAGTACAAAACCTCTACTCTGGAAACCACAAAATGTCTTGGAAATTAAAAAGAC